AGGTCCCTTCCGACCCTAGCAACTATGAAACTATGAAACCATTCAGGATTTGGCTGTCTGTATTTAATAAGAGCAAGGCATATGGAGAGGAAGATAATTACCACCTTAATTTCCAGACTATGTTATTAAGGCTGGGAAACTGACTGAGGAAAAAAAAGAACATAAGCACTCCCAACCAAACTCTTTGGGTATGCTTACACCACTCAATGACAGTGCCAGACAGAGACCTGCTCAGCACATGCTTCCTCCCAGAGCAAAAGTAGTACAGTTGCCTTAGTACACTGCTGAAAAGTAGAGAGTATAGATGCGTATAACACTGAACTAAGGTGGCTCCTGAAGTGCAAGGTGTATAAGTGCATGCAGCAGTAAACTAAAGTACTCCATGTTAAGTGGGCATGACACCATAACTGAGCGGTATTGCTGTTTCCTGAGACTACACTGAGAAATAAATTTGAACGAGTTAGACTGTACCTGTAGTAGTGGCTGTCTAGTGGATAAAATCAGAACTGCTTGATAATGTGTCACAACCCCCCTGCTGCAAACAGCTATGATAGATTCTTTTTTTAACTCTGGTCCTGTACTTTCGGAATAGGCAAACCAGAGTTCTGTAAACCCTTTGGACAGGGACTACCAGCATCCATTTGTTCTGTGTAATCCTGTAGTGCCTAGTATGGCCACTGTCACCATTGTGGTCATCATCATCATCGTGGCTCCTCATCATTAAGTAGCCATGAAAGTATAAGAACAACCAGAAAGTTTCTAGATAGCTACGGATGTTACAAAACCTAGTTCCATGATAGGTGCATGAAATTGTCAGAATTTTGTAAGAACATAAATGCTGTGTTTGGTATTTGGTTTTGAGATATACAATACATCCAGGTCCTCAGCTAGTATTTAATAAGTGTAATTGTAGGGTATTCACCAGCTGAGTTTCTTGCCATGATGTTTTATTTTAAATTTTATGCTAAGCATTGCAACAGAACCATTGTCTGCCTTTTTCTCTGTTTTCCTCCATTTGCCTTGTACAACTCTGTGTTTCAGAGGGGATAAAGTCTGCATCTGATTTGCACCAGTAAATGCAAGAAGGTTCATTATTCAAACCCTAAAGGGAGCCATAAAGGTTTAAATTATGCACTATAAACATTTCAAATGTTAGTGCTCACTATGGGGGTGTGCACAAAATATTTACAATGAAAGGCACCATGTTTCCTGGCAAGTAGTTTCCAAGAAAGTAAATTCCAGCGCAGTAGTTGCTGTGTATTTTATGGTCTATACCCAGCAAACTTGGCAGAGCAATTCAGTCAGAAGCAATAAACCCAACTAATCAAGTCTTGGATGAATATGAAAAGAAGAAAAAAAGTAATGCATCTAAGTATTTGTCTCTTAATTTCTTAGCGCATTATTTCAATAGAGCACATTTCTGGTAAGTGAGATTGGATGAAATCGGTGATAATATACCAGTCAGATAAGAAGTTGTTCTATCTTTTACAACTAAGCAACTCCATTCCAGAAGATGGAGACAAGCATGTGCATGCTTATATGGAGCCTTAGTTTATTCAGACCAGCCAAAGGTTGTTTGGCATTAACACAGGGGTGTGAGGACACAACCAATAGTGGAGAAATATCTTGCTGCTTAGATGTTTTACTGACTTATTCTCCAATTCGCTAAAGAGCAGAGCTGAGAAGCCAGGAGCAAATCTGGTAGTGAACAACTAGAGTTAGCAACTGAAAGCAAGTCTCAAACTTGGGTTTTCACATAAATATACATTTTCAAAAGATGGATAGTATTCTTAACATAAAACTCAGCCTCCATTCTCACAGACACAACAGAGAAACAAGAGATGTTTGGTATTTACGGTATGTAGAGGGTAAGAATCATGAGGGTTTGTAGCAAGTTCACAAGGAGCACTGGAGTCTGAGGCTGAAGCTCTGTGGCTCATGTGTTTTATAAGCATATGAGCAGCTGAACAAAAAATACAAAATTAAAAAGATGACTTACTATCAAGGAAGTGAAATTCTGGAACAGCATCCCAATAAGAGCACTGGAGGCAAAAACCCTTACTGGTTTTAGTTAGAACTTAATTTTCTGAGCAGGTATTATATAGTGTGGTGCCTATAACAGCCCAGGGCTTGACTCAGTGACCCAAAAGGTATCTTCCATAGGGTGAATAAAGCAGTCTAGACTAGATTCATAGATTCATAGATTAAGGGTCGGAAGGGACCTAGTAGATCTTCTAGCCCGACCCCCAGCCAGGGCGGGAGAACAACAAAAAACCCCAAAAGAGATACGGGACTCAAATGAGTCCAGCCAGGTAGGCATCCAGCCTCTTCTTAAAGACCCCCAGGGTAGGGGCCAGCACCACTTCCCTTGGAAGTTGGTTCCAGCTCCTAGCCGCCCTAACTGTGAAGTAGTTTTTGCGGATGTCCAATCTATACCTCCTCTCCATCAACTTGTGCCCATTGCTTCTTGTTATGCCAGCGGGCGCTAGGGGAAACAGCGTCTCCCCCAAACCCTTCTGGTCCCCCCTAGTGAGTCTATAGACTGTCACCAGGTCCCCCCTCAGCCTTCTCTTGTGGAGGCTGAATAGGTTCAGGTCCCGCAGTCTCTCACTGTAGGGTCTGCCCTGTTGTCCCCTAAGTCCACTAAGTGGACTTCATTCATTTCAAGTGTTTAATTAAATAATTGTTCAGAAACTCTCTCCTGATGGTGAGAAATATTTTAATATTCAGCCTAAATTCATTCATAACCATTAATACCCATTTGTTCTTGTGCTAGTGTTGTTCTTTAGCTTAAATAGTTCTTCCCCCTCTCTGATGTTTCTCCCGATACCCTTATCCGCAGAAATCACAGGTTCTTTGACCCAGTGGTTCATTCTCACTCCGTGGATCAAAAGTGACTACAGGGCTTTGGGTGAAGGGGGCAGGGGCTCAGGTGTTGTTCTCCTTGATCCTTCCCGTCAAAGGGAAGGGCCCAGGCAGGACCGGACACATCCTGTAGTTTAATGTATGAAAGCACAGATGGTGTTGCCAGCAGGGCTTTGCCTTCTTCAGCCACAGGAAGTGGTTGCTCCAGGTAGGATTGGTAATAGGAGATGGGATACACCTGGCAAAGAGAGAGAAGAGCATCTTCACAGACAGGCTTGCTAACCTAGTGAGGAAGGCTTTAAACTAGGTTTGATGGGGGATGGACACTGAAGCCCTGAAGGTAAGTGGGGAATTGCATGACCTGGAGGAAGCACAAGCAGGAGGGGGCAACAGAAGAAGCCTTCTCATTCTCCCTGAGAGAGCAGGGCAGTCGGCTAGTTACTAGGGCTGTGCAAAGCTTCAGATCACGATTCAGACTCAGAGATGATTCGGATGATTTGGATAACAAATCTATGAATCCGAATTGAATCACTGGAAGCTTTAGGCTTTCCAAATGGATTTGGAGCTTCTGAATCGATTCAGAAAAGATTTGGCGATTTGGAAATTTGGCCATAGGGTATAATGGAGAATCAATGAAATATCTATAACTTTGTTGTCTTTTGGCTGATTCAGATGAAAATTGCACGGATGGTGGCCTCTGCTGAGAGCATGACGTGTGCTAAGTTTCAAGGAGATAGGTGCAGGGATTTCTGGGAAACTGCACCTCAAATTCCTGAATGCAAAACTCTTGTCATGTGTGTGTTAAGCCACAGCGGGGTGAAAACCGCAGGCGTGCTGGCCCCTGCAGAGGCCACAAAGCCTGCCGAGTTTGAAGGAGACAGGTGCAGGGGAAATTGTACCTCAAGCTGCGGACAAGCAAAACTCATGACATGGGTGACACTGTGTGTTAAGGTGCAGCAGGGGTGAAAGCTGCACTGTTGAGGCCACGAAGCCTGCCAGCTGTCGAGGAGATCGGTGCAGGGCTTCTGGGTTCAGGGGCCTTGCACCTCTGGCTGCTGACAGGCAAAACTTGTGACATGGGTGCTTGTGCAACTGACTGTCTGTCTTGGGGCACGGGGCAGGGGGGAAACGACTCCCCTGATACACTTGCCTACAAGGGCATGTTCTGTGTTTTACAAAGTATCTTCTTATTTTTTAAGCAACTGAAAAAAATACCTTACGCTTCAGGAAAGACTTAAGTCCATATCCTCAACTGTGATGAAGATAATTTGGCACCAAAGCTGCCTTAAACAAACCTAATGACAAACAAGCCTTTGTCAGCTTTGATAAACCATAGACTTCCAAAGGGAACAGTGGTTTCAGAACCTGGAAAATTATAACTCTGTGCTTAGGATATTCATACATCCTGTTTTTGCTGGGACAGTTGCATATTTTCAACACCTTTCTCAGGGAGCCTGTCAGTTTGGTCAAATGAATGCTTTTGTCCTCTTTTCAGGACACCCAAGATAGGTGTAAGCAATGGGACTGTTTCATAGTTGTTCCACACATATTGACACAGCACTCTCAGGTGTGCTCAGTTGAGAGTAGAGCTCGGAAACAGCATAGCAAGCTGGAGAGCAGGGCAGGGATAGGCGTCTTATTTTGAGACTTCGGGAATACCTTATCTCTGCTAGAACTCAGCAGCCACAATGTGCAATTGTCCAGAATCCAAAATTAAACTGACTTGCCTGTTTCCAAGTCAGATAGTGTCATTGAAGAGACAGCGGTCAGCAGCCTGGCACCCTATTTTCAGCTCTGTCACTGACACCCTGTCCAAAAAACCCAACACTATCCCAGTTAGAGCTTTGACCATGAAAAGAGAAGCATCAGAAACTCCACAAAGACCATGTGTGACTTACTATAATTGATCAGATGTGGAAGACTCTCTGTTACAGTGATTGGAGTAGAAAACCCTAAAATGGATGGACAGATGTTTGTATGCCTATTACAATCCTCCCTCCTTCCCTGCACATCTGGGTTGGGTCCTTTACATTCTACCAGAAGACAAATTACAGGTTGATATAGTGGACACAGCACCAAACTAAATCAAAGTAAGGACTGTAAACAGTGAAGACAGCATCACATCTAAGGATTCTTTCCCATGTTGAATGCATAGGTGGGATTTGAAACCTGGGTCAAGATATTTATTTTTTAATTACATGATTGTTAATTAGACCCAATTTTAATTGTCCTGGCCTTCAAGGAGAGCAGGTGCCTAGTGCAAGATCTGTGCCAAAAAATCAACACGCAAGGTAAAAACCAATGAGAAGAGAACCAACACAGCTGCAGCTGTGCCTCCCAGCCAAATAATAGTCTCTCCTTCTCAGTAGTCACGCACAAAGGGTCCTTTTATAATAAACAATAGCTTGGTATATAGAAGCCACTTCAATAAGAAAGACTACGTGACTGAGAACTTTTCCTTTCCTTAGCAGATAAAATAAGTGGATTTATTTAGGAATTACATCAAAAGAACAGATTCAACTACCTGACCAAGCGTTCACCTATTAGGTAGATTTGGAAGCAGAAGTAAAATTACAGCCCAGATCCAAGTAAAACTAAGCGTGTTCGCAGGCTGCTGAGCTTCTTTACTGAACAAAACAGGTCAGGCCAAGATGACGCTGTGTAAACTAACCGGTCCAATCAAAACAATCAATAGAATAAAAAACATTTAGTGCCCCACTAGTAGTAAATGCTTATTTTAAATTTAAATCCCTGCATTAAAGATTGGAATATAGGCAAGAGTGGGATACAGACAGAAGAGATTTTTAAGTATTAAGCCATTTTTATTGCAAACTACTGTCCAAGAATTAGTTATTAGTCCTCATAATATTCATGGGAGTAGGGAGGAAATATTTTTATAGATGGAGAAAATGAGACACAGAAAGGCTAAGTGAGTTGACCAAGATCAGATTAACAGCAGCAGCAGTGCCCAAATATGTTTTAAGGTTTTTCTGCCTCCTAGGTCTGTTTTTAGTCTACTAGACCTAAACTGTTTTCTTGTATGCTGATAGATATGCTTCTTATAGAGTAGGAGTTTGTTTTCTAGGTGTGTTTTGCTTGTATATTGTAGCTGATTGCACACTGTTCGAAGATGCTAATTCTGCTTCTGATCTCAGCCAGTTGTGTTACCTGGCTGAAATTGGTAATATGTTAAAAGTTGTCTCAGGTTAATATTGGGCTTTAAATGATCGGAATTGGAATATGAGATTTTCATCCAAACTTCTGACAAAGCTTGAGCAGGATCTGGCTGGCATGCTCAGGATTGGGATGACGTGTCAATCAAGTGCACAGGGCTGGGGGCAGGGCAATGGGCTGATCTAGCATGTGTGGGGCAGGGGCCAGGGCTGGGGTGGCTGGCCTGATCCAGCACGTGTTGGACTGGGGCCTAATGCAAGATGAGGGCCTGATCTGGAGCATGCCAGATTAGGCTTATGGACCAGATCCAGCTCATGGACTGATCCCTCACTACTCACCTGGCCCATGGGGCCAAAGGTTGGGCACCACTGCACTAGACTATA